AGAAGAAAAGAAAATGTTTATCATGGAAAACGAACAAAGATGAACTTTAACAAAACTGATCTAATGTCGGGATAAACATTTATGTCAAATCATCATGGAAATACCATGCACATACGAAATACCGTGAAAAATGTATTAGAATCGCCCATTTAATAGAATTTAAACAAGCAAATGAGTTGCAACAAGCCGGGGCGAGCCGTGCTGAGCCGTGAAGTAATTAAAAATCGAAAAGTCAAAAAAAATTTCTGTACACACATAGATCGGCCGAGCGGGCTAGACATCGGTCCGGATTGCTGAAAATTGGAGGAAATCTGGAAAACAACTCAAAAAAAAATATTTAAAAATGTAGACCAAAACAATCTCATTTTCATTCTCATTTTTGTCAGAAAAAATTCAATCAAAAAATTACAAATTTTGATTCACTTTTAGGCGATTATACGAAGTTTTATGTATATTTTCAATGCGAACTTAAAATCCTTTTATAAATTTTGTTTTTTTTTTCCCGCTCGAATCTTTTTTTTTTGGAGCTCATTTTCACATTTGATTCGGGTGCCAAAACCGGAAATGCATGGCTATTACGGTTTATTTATACAAAGAGTATTAAATCTGACTATACAGAAACATATACAAAACACATTTGTAAGTTTATCTACAGTATCCACAAGTTCTTGGGCATTGGATCTTCATCCAATCTCTGAAGGCGACATTGTTGCAGAGTCCCAAATTGGCAGAGCATTCCGATCTTCCGGTGGTTGGGTTGACGGCGTCAATGCAGGTAGATGGAGTGGTAGAAGAGCCTATTATAATTTGAAACGAGGTTATAATCTGCCGATCGGTGACTTACAGAGTCCGCAAGTTTGTGGGCAGTTACGGGCCATGAAGTCTCTGTAGAAGACGTTGGTACAGTAGCTTCTCCATCGTGGACACTCGTTGATTCCATTGGTATTTGAACGATCGGCACAAGCGAATGGAGGCAGTGGGGAGATAGTTGAAGGTGGGAAGATGGTGGATCCAGAAGTGGATACTTGCGGGGTGATGCAACACTCACCGTTGGTGATTACGGTATATCCAATTGGACAAACATTGTTGATAGAGCCTGAAATAATCAATGGAAAAGGATAGATGAGTTTTGAAAACTCACGTCCAACAGTTCGGATTCTACAAGTTTTCGTTTGGGTTGGAAGGCCAAATGAGGATCCAGATGAGAAAAGTCCAGAAGAAGCCGTTGGTAGACCAGCTTGGAAGGGATGCGACTTGGCAACCGGTGGCTTATTTTCAGAGCTCGTCTCAGAGGAAACTGGAGGTGAAGGTGTTGAAATTCCTGAAGCCGAAGACACGACAAGAGCCAAAAAAGCCAAAAGCTTATACATTTTCCAGGAGGAGATTGGAGAACATGACTTTCGTAGGAAATTAGTGGGCTTTTATAGGTCCCAACTTCCCAGATTTCCTAAAAAATATTTGCTCTGAACTTTGAAACTCGCTTTTTAAAAATAAATCTCTATTTGCGTTTTTGGAAACATTTCAAACATTTCAACAGATGATCATGATTCCAAAAAACAATTTTTCACAGAAGCAACTGTTCAAATATAATTCTAACTCCTGGAATGACCTAAACTATTAGGTTGGCTAAAAAATAATGCGCGTTTTTATGATCAATTAAATTTATCATAAAAACGGAAGTAGACAATATTAATCCAAAAGCTATTCGCCATGATTATCAACTATTTGTCGCTAACATCCGCGCTAAGAATGGGTTTCGCTGTGGAAGAACTCCACTGGCTCTGACTCAAAGTAGGCGAATACCCATTTTTCGATCTCATCTCGGCTTTCGGAGTTGTGCTCGGCTAATGAGGGTTGCATAGATCTGAATGAGGGGAAATCGGAAGGCGCTAAATCAAGGCTATTTGGCGGATGAGAAAGAACTCCCCAGCCCGATTCCTCGATTCTGAGTGACTTATGACACATGCGGACGAGCACCGGTTGCCAAGTCGCATCCCTTCCAAGCTGGTCTACCAACGGCTTCTTCTGGACTTTTCTCATCTGGATCCTCATTTGGCCTTCCAACCCAAACGAAAACTTGTAGAATCCGAACTGTTGGACGTGAGTTTTCAAAACTCATCTATCCTTTTCTATTTATTATTTCAGGCTCCATCAACAATGTTTGTCCAATTGGATTTACCGTAATCACCAACGGTGAGTGTTGCATCACCCCGCAAGTATCCACTTCTGGATCTACCGTCTTCCCACCTTCAACTATCTCCCCACTTCCTCCATTCGCCTGTGCCGATCGTTCAAACACCAATGGAATCAACGAGTGTCCAGGATGGAGAAGCTACTGTACCAACGTTTTCTACAGGACTTCATGGCCCGCAACTGCCCACAAACTTGCAGACTCTGTAAGTCATTGTTGACCTAGTTATACATTTCCGGTTTTGGCACCCGAATCAAATGTGAAAATGAGCTCCAAAAAAAAAAGATTCGAGCGGGAAAAAAAAAACAAAATTTATAAAAGGATTTTAAGTTCGCATTGAAAATATACATAAAACTTCGTATAATCGCCTAAAAGTGAATCAAAATTTGTAATTTTTTGATTGAATTTTTTCTGACAAAAATGAGAATGAAAATGAGATTGTTTTGGTCTACATTTTTAAATATTTTTTTTTGAGTTGTTTTCCAGATTTCCTCCAATTTTCAGCAATCCGGACCGATGTCTAGCCCGCTCGGCCGATCTATGTGTGTACAGAAATTTTTTTTGACTTTTCGATTTTTAATTACTTCACGGCTCAGCACGGCTCGCCCCGGCTTGTTGCAACTCATTTGCTTGTTTAAATTCTATTAAATGGGCGATTCTAATACATTTTTTACGGTATTTCGTATGTGCATGGTATTTCCATGATGATTTGACATAAATGTTTATCCCTACATTAGATCAGTTTTGTTAAAGTTCATCTTTGTTCGTTTTCCATGATAAACATTTTCTTTTCTTCTCTGATAGAATAATTCGTTTTAACATTTAACACAGAAATTGCCAGATTAAATGTTTATTTACAAAAACAATGCTGATTTTAGTGACATATATACAGAATACACATTCAACTAGTCCTCGAAATTATCTACAGTATCCACAAGTTCTTGGGCATTGGATCTTCATCCAATCTCTGAAGGCAACATTGTTGCAGAGTCCCGAATTAGCAGCGCATTCCGATCTTCCGGTGGTCGGGTTGACGGTGTCAACGCAGGTTGATGGGGTGGCTGAGCCTAGAATTATTTAAAATGCGTTTATAATAACTAGGTCAACAATGACTTACAGAGTCCGCAAGTTTGTGGGCAGTTACGGGCCATGAAGTCTCTGTAGAAGACGTTGGTACAGTAGCTTCTCCATCCTGGACACTCGTTGATTCCATTGGTGTTTGAACGATCGGCACAGGCGAATGGAGGAAGTGGGGAGATAGTTGAAGGTGGGAAGACGGTAGATCCAGAAGTGGATACTTGCGGAGTGATGCAACACTCACCGTTGGTGATTACGGTAAATCCAATTGGACAAACATTGTTGATGGAGCCTGAAATAATTAATGAAAGAAGATAGCGGACTCTGGAAACTCACGTCCAACAGTGCGGATTCTACAAATTGTAGTTTGAGTTGGAAGATTGAATGAGGATCCAGACGAGAACAGTCCAGTTGGTAGACCAGCTTGGAAAGGGTGCGACTTGGCAACTGATGGCTTATTTTCAGAGCTCGTCTCAGAGGAAACTGGAGGTGAAGGTGTTGGAATTCCTGAAGCCGAAGACACGACAAGAGCCAAAAGAGCCAAAAGCTTATACATTTTCCAGTAGGAGATGGGAGAACATGACTTTCCTAGGAAATCAGTGGGCTTTTATAGGTCCCAAGTTTTCAGATTTCCGCGAAAATATTTGCTCTGAACTTTGAAACTCCCTTTTTAAAAATAAATCTCTATTTGCATTTTTGGAAACATTTCAAACATTTCAACAGATGATCATTACAACCATTATTCTGTGAAAACAAGGTTTTTACAGAAGCAGCTGTTCAAATATAGTTTTATATCCTGGAGTGACCTAGACCATTTTCCAAATTCAAAAATATTAGCTTTGAAAGTCTCGTCTGTAAATTTTTAGCTACAAATTTTGAACGAATATCTGAAAACCGGGGTTTTTGTTGATGAAAAATAAAATACACATTCAAACACAGATGAAATACAAAAAGAGAAGATAACGGGTGAGCAAATGTTCAAACATTTTCCAAGGAATCTGAATTTCTCGTTCTTTGAAGTACTCCTCTAAATCTTCATAAATTCTACTATTGCAGAAAATGTCAATTTTATCTTCTGCAGATCATTTTTGCCTGGCTTCCTGTAGAATCGCTTCAAATTGTGCATCCGATAAATTTTGAACCATCTGAAACGTGTTACTCGTGAAAAATTAGGTCCTTGATACGACTAGGTTAATCCCGACCATCCACTGAGCTCCTGGAAAAAAAGTTAAGTGATGAATGGCTTTCCCATTTTAACGTTAGAAACAGGAAGTAGAATATCAGCAATTCTGATCCCAACTGCTTTCAAAAATGATAATATTGTTTCTATCTGAGTGTGAAATATATAGCTGAAAAAGCTTTACAAATCAATGTTTTGCTAGAAACTCTCTTCCTCAAAGGAACGTAGGAGTTCACCCAGAATTTCAATTATGCCAGAGATCATCTGAATTGCCCGAATGAATATTTATTTTAAAAAGATTCAATTATTTACAACACTAGCGATCTACGCCAAAAAAAAAGAAGAAGAATTTGATTATTGACAGTATCCGCAAGTCTTTGGGCACTGAATCTTCATCCAATCCTTCAACGAAGCATTGTTACAGAGTCCAATGTTGGCGAGACATTCAGATCTTCCAGTCGTTGGGTTGATCGAATCAACACATGTGGTAGAGGCGGTGGCTGGACCTGAAATACTTTTTAGTTATTTCTATGGATCTAATAGAGAACTCACACAATCCACAAGTCTGTGGGCAATGATGGGTCATGTAGCTCTTGTGGAACATGTGATGACAGTATTCCTTCCATTGTGGACATTCGTTGATTCCATTGGCATTTGCCTTATCGAAGCATGTCGAGTGACTGGTTGGGGATGGGAGGACTTGTTGAGTAGGACAACATTCACCACTGGAAATCAGGGTGTGACCGGTGGGACACTGATTGTAGATGGCTTCTGGAAGTTTCCTTTTAAAGCTTTCTAAAGGTCATCTTGAGAAATTACCTCCAATTGGTCTAGTTCTGCAAGACGTAGTTGTTGGAGCTGGAATTGTAGCTTGTGTTGGGAACCCAAAGTTGAATCCAGAAGGTGCCGTTGGTAGGCCAGCTTGGAAAGGATGTGACTTGGCAACCGGTGGCTTATTTTCCGAAGAAACTGGAGTTGAAGGTGTGGATTTTCCAGAAGCCGAAGCCACAATAGCCAAAATAACCAAAAGTTTGCACATCTTTCACAGAGGAGGATGTTGAACATTTCGAGTTACGTCCTTTTATAGCTCATTACATTGCTCAATTTACAAGTTTTTGAGCGAGCAGAGATCCTTGTTATTTCGCATTTTTGCAGATAAAATGTTTTCAGTCGGACTCACTTTTTCAAAATGATCATTTTTTCAACATGATCCCATAAACAAGTTTTTTCTAGTTTCTGACCCATCATCTGTTCAAACAAAGTCCTTTTTGGTCTGAAACGGTTGAAATCACAAGAACCAAACGTTTTTTGAGCTTCTACTGAAGTTCGAAAAATCATGTATCTTTGGAAAATTCTGAGATTTGTAGGAATCTGAAAGGATATTCAGATTTCCGAGATTCTAAAAGCTTCAATTTCGGATTCAACTATCCACACGATTGCATTTATTCACAAAAGAAAAAACAAACCGTATATGTAAAAAAAACACAGGCGAGATACAGAAAATATGGGAAATGAATTGAAGGACCGATCAAAAGAAATCAAGAGATCGGAAGGTAAAAAAAGAGAATTTTGAGATAGCTTTAAAACAAAAGATTGAGTCTGGAATATGGTCAAAAACAGGGGAAGAAATAAAACAGTGTCAATTTCCAGTGAACAGAAGAAGCATGATGAAATAAAAATTCACAAAGAATTAGACCATGCGAACATGCTCCAGTGTCATAATTGGGGCTAGATAGTTTTGATTTTCATCCGGAACCTGATTCCAATTTTCTCTTTCTTCAAAATACTCCATAAGACACTCCTCAATACGGTTGTTGTCATAAAACTCCACAGTTTCTTCCAGGGATCGACGGAGCTTCGCTTCTTCTCTCTTCTCTTCGATTTTGGAATTTTCGATGTTTTGGAGAACCTGAATGTTTCAATTTTAATAATTACAATTTCAGAAAAGAAGAAAACTCACAGTAGCTTGGTCAACATTTTTTCTTGAGATCTTCTTTTGATTTCGGGACTTCTCAGTTTTCTTCGATCCTTTAGACTTTTGAGCTCCCTTGTCAACTCGTTGAATATCCATTTGGGGTGTCGGGGATTGGCTAGAGCTCTTGGCCTTTGCTTTGGATGCGGACTTTTTGTTGGTGTCAATGGTTTGAGGTGTCATCTGGAAAATTGTTGTGGTTATAACATAAAACGATCTGGACAAGAAAAACTGGAAGATTCGAGAAGATGATGTCGGCTGGTTCTAAAAATGATCAATCTGCCTGATTTTATTTTAATGTTCCTTTTTTCAGCAAATTGTTACCTGAACGATAACTGACTTCAAAT